GAGGGCTGGGCCCGGCCAATGGGGAGAAGGGAGTGCTCCACCAGTGTTGCTGAGGGCAGGGCCTGGTCCATGAGGGGGCTGCTCCGGTGTCACTGAGGCCTTAGCACGTAATGTAAGGCACCCGTCCCCTTGGTTTCTTGGAGAGTGTGTGACCCGCAGCATGGAGCTGTACAAACTGGAGCACACGCCCAACCTGGAGACCTCCGGGTCCTGCCGGACCAGCAGCAGGATCTGCTCGGTGTTGATGAAGAGAGCCCAGCAGGGGAAGCAGCAAAGCAGCAGGATGAGGGTGCCACGCTGCAGGATGGTCCCCACCCGCTTCATGTTCTTACCGCCGTACGTCTGGAAAACAAGAGGTTAAATCCAATGGCATCCTTCAGCCACGCTCTCCACCTCCGACCCCTGGACTGCACTAAAAGTCTGCGGGGTCCATACAGGAACTGCACAGGAGTGTCGGGCGTCACCCACTGCCTATTGTAGCACAGGGGCATGTGAGGACTGGGATCCTTCAGTATCCATGCAAAGCAGGTAGGATGTGGTTTTTAGGGTGGTCTAAGACAGTGGTTCTCAAGCAGGGGTACATGTAGCCCTGGGGGTACTCAGAGGTCTTTCAGGGGGTACACCAACTCGTCTAGATATTTGCCTACTTTTACAACAGGCTACATAGAAAGCACTAGTGAAGTCAGTACAAACTAAAATTTCATACAGACAGTGACATGTTCATACTGCCCTAGATAGTATAGTATAATATACATATACTGAAATGTAAGTACAATATTTATATTCCAATTGATTTATTTTATAATCATGTGGTAAAAATGAGAAAGTCAGCAATTTTTCAGTAACTGTGCTGCATTTTTATGTTTGATTTTTGTAAGCAAGTAGTTTTTAACTGGGGTGAAACTTGGGGTACGTAAGACAAATCAGACTCCTGAAAGGGGTACAGTTGTCTGGAAAGGTTGAGACCCACTAGTCTAAAAGCTGCTACCACAGTGTGGCTCTCTGACCCCACTTAGTGGCTTATGAGTCTGTTACAGCCCTGGAGTTAATGGACCTGATCCTTTTGCTACAGGAGTAAGAGGCTCATATCTTTAGATCTAGATTGTCCTGGGAGAACATTGCCGTCTCATTCTGCAGAAGCATGACATGTGATTGATCCTTGCGAGATGAAGAGCCACATTGGACCCGGATGGAGCTTTGAACTGCATGTTCTAGGGCATCTAGGTAATTGCTTAGACAACTGAGTCATTCCTTGGTATGATCCTTTCATAGGATCTGCTCACCTGGGTGTCCTGAAGGGCAAAACCTATGGAGTTTGGAATTTCTAAGGGTTCAGCTACTTGGCTCTGACTCTTCCAGAAGCTCAGACACCAATTATGACAGCACTGTGCAATATAGGCGACTCTATTCAGCCAGTGTCTTTAAAAAACCACATCATCTCTAAAACAAAGAGATCAGAAACCAGCAGCTGTTACCTACCTGGGATATTAACGTGTCACATGCGGAAGATAAACCAACCCCCACAGAGATGCCAGTAACATTTATAACCTGGAAATAGTCATAATGATAAAACAACAGTGAAAAAACATGAAAGTGCAATTTCAGACGGTCACAGGTTTCATCTAGGGCTGGGTTTGAAGGCGATGTCAAAGGTCCCCCTCTATCCCAGGCTGCTACCAGCCCTTCAGCTATCAACCCACCGCTCCAACTACCTAGTTACTGTTTGATAAGAGACGTTTAGTATACATGAGCTGGCATGAAAGGATACAACCTATGTAAAGACTCAGAACTAAAATACTTACAGCAATAGCAAGCGAGACGGAGGCCAACTCAACCTTCCCCAGATGGCCACAGAATATAGAGCTTACAATGTGTATCATAAAGACCAGCAACTGGATCAAGGTCTAGAAAGGGTGGAGGGGGAGGAAAAACAGAGATCATGGTGACTGCAGGGTCCAGGGCAGGAATACACTGAGAGGCTCCCTGAGGACACACTCTTCCTGTACTGTGCAAAAGAGAGCGGGCGGGATTGTCCCCATTCAAATGGGTTTAACGAATAACGTTAGAATATTTAAAACAACAAAACCCAACCCCCAGATTAAGCTGGTTTTAGGTTTATCCACCAGCCATTGGAAATTCTCTGCAAGACTCGGCTGATGCAATGACTCTCCGTCACCAACTCGTTTCCTTGCGGTTCTAGCCGGTCCCTGGTCAGCTCAGGGTTAATCACTCCACTTGACGCTCCACGAGGGCTGGTGACATCAGACGGCAGCAGCTCTCGGTGTTTTGGCGAAATCGGCCAGACTCTGATCTCGGCTACATCCGGGTAAGCCCGGAGTAATGCTGCCGAGCCCAGATTGGAACGGGTGCGACGGAGCTGCATTTCGACACCCCAGCCCCAATTTACACCAGAAATCTCACATTTGATAATATCTGATCGGCTCCACGGGTGGGAAGAGTCTTAGTCTAGATGGGCCCCAAGCCGCTGCCACCATTTTAAATGATGAAACTAGCCCTGCTCCATTCCCTTTGGGTCACAGCATCTCCTCAACCACCCCAGAGCAGCCTCCGGCTCGCCTCCTGCTCTATCGTGCGCAAGACACCTGCCCCAAGGCACACGCCAAGAAGCCTTCAGCAGTGCAGCCCGGGGAAGGCTGTGCCTGCACCCACGGATCTCTCGCTCCTTCCAGGAACAGGGGCTTTCCTGCTAGCATCTGTGATGTCTCGTTCCTTTCCCACTCCAAGTGAGCACCATCCACCCGTGTCCCCAGTGCTGGGGGCTTCAACAGTGCCGCACTGTACCCAATCCTACGGTTCCTCCCTTTCCTCTCTCACCCATTCCCCCTTTGCTGATTATACCACAGGAAGCGGCAAGTGGTCATTTCAGCATGCAGCAAAGGGGAGAGGCAGGACCAGGGGATGAACTGAACCAGGGCTCTGAGCCTTGCAATAAGAGGGGGCCTGGACTTACTAGGAGAACCAGTGGACGAAGGGTGAGTGCTGAGCTGAGCTGGGCTGGCCAGCTTGCCTGCCTGCTAAGGGAGGAAGATCCAAGATGGGGCAGGAAGGACGACGAGAGTCAAACCCCCAAATGCCACTTAAAACCTACAAAAGCAGCAAAGAGTCCTGTGGCACCTTATAGACTAACATGTATTGGAGCATGAGCTTTCGTGGATGAATACCCACATGCATCCGAAGAAGTGGGTATTCACCCACGAAAGCTCATGCTCCAATACATGTTAGTCTATAAGGTGCCACAGGACTCTTTGCTGCTTTTACAGATTCAGACTAACACGGCTACCCTCTGATACTTAAAACCTACAGGAGCTCATCCCCTGGAAGTCTGGAATCCATCCAGCAGCCCCCCCCCAGCAAGCAGGATTCAAACCCATGTGACTCAGGGCTCTGCTGATCCAACTTGAGGGGACCCGCCTGCACCAATTCACTGGGCAAACGCAAACCCGGCTATCTCTAGCCCTCCCTCGCCTCACCAATGGCCCCGACAGCACCAGCAGCTTCTTTGCCTCTTCCCAGAAGTTGAATGGGATCAGCTGGCGAATCCAGCAGCTGCTCTTCTGCCCGCAGCCGGAGGATGGCGCGGGCGGGACGATGCTCCTGGCATCTCTGAAGGGGTTCTCATCAGTGGGGCCCGCGAGCTCCATGCTGCCGCTGCTCCAGGGAATAACTAACCCTCTTTTCCTTCCCCGTTGGTTAAACCCGTTCGATTCACCTGACCCGAGCGGGCGACCGTTATGTAACGGCAGCAGAGTGCACTTCAGTCATGGCTGAGCGAGCATACCCCCATCCGCCACCCCCTCTTGCTGGCACAGCCCGAGAACAGGTGATGAGTAAAGTCCCTGGGACACACGGAGGAGGAGCAGGAGCAGGACAGCCTCTAGCAGAGTCGGATACTGTTCTAGGTATGCTTGGTTCTGCCTCCACGCAGGGGGGTGGCCTAGATGACCTCTCGAGGTCCCTTCCAGCCCTGCACATCTATGATTCTATGTCAGGGTGGCATGGACTGCCCTGATGGGGGCAGCTGGAGACAGCAACCTCTGGGGATGGGGAATTCCTGCAACCAGACTGCCTTGTGATGTTGTCTTGCATGCTAAGCAAGGCTGGTACCGGCCCATAATTGAATGGGAGGTCTAAGGACAGAAGAGGTGCTGCAAAAAGTGTCATGGCTGATCTGGAAGGTGGCGTTCCTCTTTCTGAGTCAGTACTCAAGTAAAGCTCCTTAATAAACCCATGGCACTTAGCACAGGTGTCCTGGCCATGGGCTGCGTGCTGGATGCAGTGGGGATATGTGGGCTGAGGAAGGAAAGCGGGATTTGTCCCCTGTGGATTTCACGTTGCTGCCTGAGGCTTTGTCTGCCCTGGCAATTGTTTGTATGGCAGCAGTGCCAGCTGCCCTCGAGGTCCCATTATGCTAAGCGCTGTACAAACACGGTGAGAGAGAGTCCCTGCCAGAGCACTTGTCATCACCAGGAACAAGCTGGAAAGGGAGCGGGAGGTGAAGTGACTTCAGATCAGTGTCAGGGCCAGGAACAGAACCCAGGTTTCTGACTAACAGTGGAACCAGACTGCTGCACAGGCATAGCCAGCACTCTGGGTTTGGTTTGGTTTTTTTACCACCACGCCATCTAGATCTGTGCAGAATAGAATTAGCGGGGCCAGGGGTAACAATGCTGGAGTCCTGTCTACACTGCAGCTTCCACCGGTACTGAACTGTGTCACGGGCAAGCAGCGTAGCCAGTGGAACTTACACATCCTCTGGTTCCACTGAGAGAAGGCACACGTTTTCTGCCATGCTGTTGCTGCTGGGGTCTGACTCCATTGCAATCAGTGACAAAGCACCCAGTGACTTCAATGGATGCAGGATTAGGCCCTTCAAGAGCTGCCCGCCTATTATTTTGGTTGGCTGAGGCTTTCACCTGATCCCTTCCAGTGACGGTTGTGCTGTCCTCTTTATAGAGTCTCGTGGTTGCTCCCCAAATCACCTGGCTCCTAACTTTGGATTAGTCTATCTGCAGTTGGGACGCAGCCCCACACAGAGATCTCTGCTCCTCTCTAACATTGCTTGATTCAGTTCCAAGCTTGCTCACTCCTGCTGAAGGAAACCGTTGTTGCCTTTTAGCCTAGCTGTGTTAATGAAAAACCAAGGCTGGGGGAAGCAGGTCAGAGGTGATGCTGGTCCTATAGCTTGTAAATGTGGCCTCCCCCCATGTTCACAGGGTCAGTGCTGGGGATTTCATTCAATGTATAAGCCATTGTACCCTTACACTGCCTTGCTTTGTTCTCTTGCTTTCCCTGCTAGCTGCAGTTCTACCCCGGCGTTCATCTGGTGAATTGAACATTAATTTAGCATCTGATTTCTCTCTGCGTGAAAGGTTTTGCCTTCTGGGACTTTCTGCATTCAAACAGACTCAGCCTCTGCCAATTTCTTTCCCCCAGTCCTGTGTTAGGATTGCCCTTTAGTCCCTAACATCATTTGTATTCTGGTCATTCTCACAGTGACCTTTGCTACAGGTTACTCATCCATAGACATTTCTTACTGCACAAGTCTGGGCCAGGTAATGGGAGTCCAACTCCCTGTTCCTGCACTGTGGGGCCAACGACTGCAGTGATGCAAAGCGTCTCAGTGCATGAATCACATGCAAGCAAAATTCCGAGCTGACCCCTGCACTACAGTGCAGAGAGGGGCAGGTATTTCTACTACTGTCCCATCTGCCCCTAGGCTGAACCGGGGGAGATGGAACAGCAGTTAGCGTGTCTGCACCCATCTCCAGGAGGGCTACGTTACTCATTGTATATAGCTCAGTGGTTTGAGCATTGGCCTGCTAAACTCAGGGTTGTGAGTTCAATCCTTGAGGGGGCTTTTTAGGAATCTGGGGCAAAAATCTGTCTGCGGATTGGTCCTGCTTTGAGCAGGGGGTTGGGCTAGATGACCTCCGGAGGTCCCTTCCAACCCTGGTAGTCTATGATTCTATTGTTCTGAGTTTAGACTAGATCGAAGATTGACCTGGACGAAGAAGCTGGGAGTTCAGATTAGGTGACGGGGTTTTGTGGATCTCTTCTACTCAAGACTTAGTAAAGCATTTCTTAACCAGCAGTCACTGTAGTTCATCAAACCCTCACACTCACTGGAGGGAGCCAGAGAAGAATCCCAGCACGGTGTCACACACATGGATCCGGTTGCAACCATGTGCCACTTTGTAGTTAGAAAAGCCAGCTAAGCAATGGCAGCTAAGGGCAGTTCAAGACATATTGCTAACACGTGCGCACGGCTCAGTGATGTGGATGCAGCGGCTTAAGGGGAGAGACGTTGGTTTCAGGATGAGCCAGTTTGTTGGAATGGGACTCAGTCTAACGAACTGGAGACCGTTGTATTCGTTTCAATACCAGTTAGCAATGATAGAGCAGGTTTTGCTGCGTGCGTCGCTCTGGCTTGAAAATCCAGAGGAAAAGTGGATTGCTAGTAATGTGTCCATTGGAGTGCATAGCACCAAGTGCATAGTTACGAGATCCAGACATACATTTTCCTGATGATACTTTTCTTGGATCATGCTGGGGTGACTAGAAACTAGTAATATCAGGACAATCTGGAAGCAACCCCTGAAATCAATGAAACAACCTGAATATTTATGCATAAAAATGTACTGGATTCCAAAAGTGTGAAAGAAGATTTCTTTAGGCAACATGCCTGGTGAACGCTAGAGAATGCCACACAAAGTGCGTGTGTCAGTTTGCTCCAGCCATTGCTGGGTGATTCTATAAACCCTTTCCAACAAAGCAACAGTTACCCTCCGTTTGCTTTGTGTTGCATTACAGGAGAGTCCCAGATCAAGTTCTGAAATGTAAAAAGTGCTCTAGTATAACATGGGAGGCACACGGCACATTCAGGGAAAAAACCTCTGTATTTTGACCAAGCAGTGGAACATAAAAAACATGAACAAATACTCCTCAGGATCAGGAAACAGTGAACCATTGGTAACGTTTGAGTGTCTCCGTCAGTGCATCAGTACCCATTCTCTGCAAGTGTTGTACAATCAGTGCATCAGCCGCGTCGGGGACTTGCCCTACTGGCTCCGTCATACTGCTGTAGAAGGGATCAGCAAACATCCCCTATTCAGTATAATTCGTGCAATGAATGCATGAGTGCTGGGCCCTCACCCAACCTGTTAAAACAGGAACAATCAGGGGTCCTAAACAGGACACTCTGACTTCACCATAATGCCAAGAGAAGTGGTCCTTGACGTGCTAGCAGAATGGATGAGCATCCTGTTTCACCCCAGCATCACCCTTCTTAGAGCACCCGACCATGGCCTCGTGCCAAAGTCCACTAATCCCAGTCTTCACACTGCTGTGCCTAGCCATTACCGGTCAGGAGCCGGACTAAAACCCCCACTAGCAGGACTGCAATGGCCACAGCCAGAGCTAGCCCGCGACGGTAGATCAGCTCCTTCCCCGACAAGACCTTCTCTCCTGGAGAGATGGAGCCTGGTGCAGAGTCCTCCTGCCGGATGAGCTGGCGATCTGGCTGGCTCTCGCTCCTGGAGACAGGATCAGGCAAAACCACCACATTCTGGACAGCCGTTTCAACTGTGAAATACTCTGTGTGGCAGATAAATTAGGTTACACGTGGGAGTTTGGAACAGGCAGGGTCTGAGCTGGAAAACAAGCTGCAGAGCTTGAAAGCCAGTGGTTCCCAGCCACTCGCCCCATGGCTGGGACAGACATTGGTGACAGATCATCCTAACACTCCTTTCCTTACCTGGATGAGCCTGGCCTTCGTTTGTCTGCTTTTAGAGAGAGCGGTGTGAGGAGCAGCAGCCGTTGGAGCGCTACTCCAGATGAGGCCATGCAAAACTGAATGGGAAGCAGTGGGCGAGGGCTGGCTGACATAACAGAGGTCTGATTCAGTCCCAGCTGGCGTAGGTGGGAGCCACACTCGGGATCAGGCCCTCTGTATGCCAGGCTAGGTCCCGTCCCTGCCAAAGGCTAGAGCTGCAGCTCTCAATCTCTGTCTTCCCGCCAGGCGAAGGGCCTTGTTAGGCACTGCCTGGGGATGTGCTTGCCTGGAGACCACCACTTAGGGTGGGAGGGACATGTGTGAGCAAGACCACGCTCACACACAGAGGTATTGCTGCTAGTCTGCTACAAGACCATGAAGCTCTGATATCAGTGGGGCCCTGCCCTGCCCCGTTCCAGGGGAAAACCCACCCCCATGCACAGGGTCCATCCTCAATCTGCTGCACTGCTCAAGCTCCCACAGTCCACCCGCTGAATAGCATCGGGCCACAGGGTACGTTACTTTGGCACTCAACCCCACATGTGCCTTATGCAAAACCGGGCTCTTCCTGGCTGTGCAGAGGCGCTGGCTCCATGGAACATGGCAATAGAAGGCACAGAGCCTCTCTGTATTACAGGCATTACTGGCACGTCCTGTTGGCATTAGCTGAGGGGGCATCAGAGAATTGCAGTCCCCTCCCCAAGTCCCAGCCCACAGCCACGTACCTGAATCGCCTGTTTCATCAGCTCCAGCACGACTGGAGGACACTGCTACTGGCTGCTCTTTGAGCCCTGCTCGGATTTGAGCCTAAGATAATAAAAAGAGCGAGGTCAGAATCTCCATGGACCCTGTACAGACAACAGTGCAACC